GCCGCTGAGAGAGCGAAGCCAGCAGTGCCGTAGAGCTGGAGAAGCTGGGAATGCGGAACGTGTGCCGCGGACAGCCGCAGGCAGCAAGCAAAGCCACCCCAGACGGGAGGCCACAAAGAGCTGCAAGCGGCACCCCACAGGGTGAGGCTGCCCCAGCCCTTCGAAGCTTATGACACGCCGCAACTGGCTGCGGGAGCTGGCTGCGGGAGCTGGCTGTGGAGCTGGGAGGTTTCATGGCTGCCCCATGGGCCGTGGTCTTGTTTGGGTCCCATTCCTGCCGAGTTCTCCACTTCTCTTTTGAAATGAGATCGTCTACCCTGCACCTCTGCACATTAGCGGTGCTTGACTTTCTTTTGGATTTTCATAGGGGCTCATGGTGAAGAGCTTGCCTTGAGCCTAAGAGAAGACTTTGCTAGAACTGCTAAAATGCTGGTGACTCTTAGAGATGGATGAAGCGCGTTTTGCATAGAGAGATGCACACGAGTCTTTCTGGGCCAGGGTAGGAGATTACAGTTTTGATGTAGACATCCCCACGGAGCCCCATGTGTTCAGAGGCAGGGATTTTGGAAGGCGGTTAGATTATGGGTGCTGCATGGCTGGCATGGTTAGGAAGTGTTTTGTGATTGGTGAGGCTGGCCCTGGGGAGGCTGAGACAGGAGGATCCTCTTGAGTTTGAGGCCAACAGGGAGAGGGAGATAGGGAGAGGACATGGAGGGCAGGACACGACCTGGGTCCTTCTCCCTCCCCGGATCTTCTTTTCCCTTGCTTCCTGATCTCCATGAGGTGAGCAGCCCCTTCCGCTGCCCCTTCACCATGCTGTCTACCATGCCACCTACCACGCCATTCACTCAGCCATCCTGCCAACTATGGCCTGCAAGTGTAAGCCAGCATCAGCCTCTTCTCTTTTACATTGTATGGCTATGACAGAGACAGAGTGACAAGGAACAGTGACACGGCTGGGCGTGCACACTTCCTGCCCAGCGCTCATTACAGGAGGTGCTCAACAGGACCTCTGAGCAGCTGAACAGCTGCTCCGGCCTCCCCACAGGGCAGTGCAGGGATGGCACCTGACAGGCGTGAGGCCTGGCTTGGCGGCCACGCATCTCGCCACAGGCTCGCAGCCAGGCACTCTGGACTCACACCAGGCCCCGCAGTGAGGCACTCACTCTGCCCCCAGGCTGCAGCCTTTGGACAGCAAGAGACCAACACAGGCACAAAGGACAATGTCCACTGGTGAGCACCGGTACAGGTCAGGGATAGCTGCAGATCCGAGGACGTGGCTTTGTCCAAGGTCATGGGAGCTCTGGCCCCTCATGCTGTGGCTCCTGGCCCACCAGACCCCAGGACAACTGTTTTATGCTCAAAGAGCCTGAGATAGGCAAGGCAGGGCCTTGGTGTCCCAGGGCCAGGGATGGGAGGCACTCCTCCTCAGGACTCCCTGGGGACCCCCAGAGCCCGCTGCTGACGCTTCTCTGCTCACTGGTGCCACGTGACTCAGCCGGTCTTCCTCCAAGGCAGGGTCACTGCGCCTTGTGCACAGGGGACTGATGCTAACCAGACCCCAGCCTAGCACTTTCCTCAGCGGCAGATGAAGGGCAGGGCGCCAGCACCCCAGCCGCATCCACATACCTCCAGCTCGCCCAGGGTCCTCCCTGTCACCTCCACACCTTCTCTGTCTCCACGTCCTGCTGCCTTGACTGCCCAGGCACCACCTGAATCCACCCACTCGCCTTCAGCTATGGCCTCCCGCCCGCGACGCCATCACGTCTCAGCCCTGCTCTTACACTGCGTCCTCACAGCAGGGCTGAGCTTCACCATGCTGCCTGGGGCTGCTTTAAATCACAGACCTAACCAGCCATGCCCCAAACATTATACTTAGGCTAAAACCAACCTGCTCGGCACAGTCAGGACCCCGCAGGGCCCAGGCCATCCCTGCCTGAGCCTCCTTGGGTCCCTCAGAGAGCGCTGGCCCTTGCACCCCAGAGCCCAAGCACACGTAGTCTACTTTTCTAAAATTCTCCTACCTGCTTACCCTTCCCATGCTCGCAACACACTTGTACACACACACACACACGGACGCGCGCGCGCTTGCCAACCGCACTGAGGCGACAGTCACTCGGCTCTCGTGCACACTCACAGGCCCACGTTCCTCTCCTTCAGGGGCCCAGCGCTGGTGTATGATTACGAGGCTCATCTGGATAACTTGCGGCTGAGGCCGCCTCCTGTGTGTCTGCTAGGGAGGGCACAGCTCAGGCCAGGGTCTGCTCCTGGACACCTGGGGCCCTGCTCAGTGCCTCGCGTCTATCCCCACAGTGAGCCAAAGGCCCAGCTGGGCGCTGTGTCACTGCATGTGGATGATGTGTCAGACCGCTTGACCCCTGGCCCTCCTGGGACAGACCTGCAGAGCTGCCTGCCATGCCCACACCTCTCCTTGGGCATCCAGGCACTCCACCTCCCGGCCTGCCTTGCGCTGAGCTCAGCCAGTGGGGTGTGAGCAGGAGCACCGCCCTTGCTCCACGCCTGGGCCTGGGGCCCTCTCCCACGGGACCCACCATGCAGCCTCTGAAGGTCGGGGCCAGGTCTCTGTGGTTTGCCACAGAAGATTTCAAAGAGGAAGGTGGGTGGGAGCTCTACTTATCCAAAAGACTCTGTTACCTCCAGGGGTTTATGCAGAAGAGATTTGGGGGGGCTGGCTCACCAGGGAGTTCGAGGCCTTGGGACTGGGTGAGGGACTGCCGTGAGGCTTTTGTGTTCTTTGTGCTCCTCCGGACTTTTATGAGAGCTATGACGTGATTCTAGAATACAGATAAAGCTCTTTCCTGACACAGAGACAGCAGGCCGGCTTGTGCTGGGAGAGGCGCCCTGACCATCCCAGGTCCCTGTGACTGCAGGCTCAGAGGGACAGGGACAGGCCCCACTCAGGGACATACGCAAGCGCACACAGAGCAAACAGCCAGAGGTACCCCCCCCCCACCGCCCTGACAGCAGCTGCCGGCACGGTGTGGGGTCCTCTGATGGCCAAGCCACCACGTAGCACTCCTGACCTAGTCACCCGGGAGCCATCCAGCTTCAGGACGCAGCTGTGTCAAGCAGCCCAGCCTGTTGGGGACACGACACCATCCCAAGGACCTGGCAGCCGTGGGAGCCTAGGCTGCTACATCGTGTGCTCCGTAACTTCTCCCACTCTGAGCACCTCTGTGTGTCAGGCACTGTAGCCCCTGCCCAAGGGGGGCACCTGGTACCCTCGACTCACACAGCAGCTCCCAGCTGCCCCTGCTGTCTGGCCGCTCCTGCAATGACCTCATATCTTAAACACCACCAGCACCCACAGCCTCTCCTCTTCTACAGGGCAAAGTCCAAATACCCTGCTAAGCTGCCAGCCTCAGCCCTACAGGTCCTTGCTGGCACAGCGGGTGCCTGGCATATACAAGTGGCCTGGCGGCAGAAGGTCACAGGGCTGGTTGAAAGTGCCGTCCCCCTACCCGGGTTCTTCCTGCTTGTCCCTTAGCCTCCTCACCCATCTCAGGTGGCAGTTGGGTCTTGGAATCTCCCCAGAGCCACCCGGTTCCTGCAGCACCTGTGGCGCCAAGCCTAAGCATGGGGCCAGCCTAGGCACAGGGCCAGCCGAGGCGTCACATTCCCTGGGCCCCACTGGTCAGTTTAGGGGCGATCGCATCACTGGCCTGAGCCTGAGGGAGGGTTCTGCCAGGACTGCTGGGGGACAGCTGGCTTTTTCTGTAGATGCCAGGCCTGAGAAATCCATCTACAACAGAGCTGGCAGAGGTAGAAGGAAAGCAATGGGACTGGGGACACGATCCAGCCCTTGACCAAACCGGGGTGCCTTCAGTCACGTGGGCCTCTCCAGCCGTTCACTTTGGGTCCCTATCAGCTACAGCGTGGCCTGGACTGCAGCCACAGCAGCGGCCTCACACTCTTCTAAAGCCACTGCCCGGGTAGAGGGTTTCTCACCTCACATCTGCGTGGTGACTCAAGCAAGCCTCATGTTCTTTATGTGTTTTGTTGTTTTTGTGGTTCTGGGGATGGAACCCAGGGCCTCTGTGCTGAGCTGAATCCCCAGCTTTTTTAGTTTTTGGAGACAGTCTCACCAAGTCACTTAATTGTCCAGACTGAGCTCAAACTTGTGGTCCTCCTGCCTCAGCCACCCAAATTCTGGGATGACAGCCATGTGGCACCAGCACCAGTACGCATATCTTAAAGATGTAGAATCAAGGGTCAGGGGCGCACAACCAGCTGTCCAGGAAGCCTGGTGCTTATTGCCTGACGGCTCCTGCGTCCCTGCCTGGCAGGGAGGCACCACTCGGCCCCTCCCAAGCCCTTCCCTGTGGCCTGGCCTGGAAGGCCCACTCCTCCTCTGCTGAGCGGAGTCCCCCACCAGGACTCACCATGCAGTCCCTGGGCCTGCACACAGGGTCCAGCCAGCTCCTGCTGCCTGCCTCAGAGACCTCCACGCCCCCTGTAACTTCCCCTGCCCCCCACACTGCAGCCTGGGGACACAGATGGGCCTGCAGCCTCTGCCATGGCTCCTGCAGACCCCTTGCACCACAGGAGAGCTCCAGGGAGCAGTGCTACTGGCTGAGGTCACATTCTTGGAGGACAGCTGTAGGGATCGGGGTGTTGCCTGGGGTCCTTGGAGCCTCAGCAACCAGCAGATGCTCATTAAGTTCTTCCCACCAGCAAATACCCCACACCACTCTCGGTGGCTATCTGTTGGACCTTTTAAACCAGGCCTGCTTTCTACAGACCTGCTATTCTAGACCGTGAACACAGCCCACGGGAAGCACCGAGCAGCCCCAAAGCCACCAGCTGGGCCGGGTGCTCCGTGCCAGCACCTGGGACCTGACACCTGCGGAGCTCGCTGCCACTGCAGAGCCTTCCTGTGGGCCATGCCCCTCTCCAGCCCATGGCGTTGGGCCTGTGAAGCAGTGTGGCCTGCGGTGAAGGCCTCTCCCTGCAGAAGCGAGTCTGCCACACCTCCTCACCTCCAGTCTGGTCCTGTCCACATCTTTGGGCAGCTTCACTCGGATGCGGTTTGTCACAATGAGGGAGTCGTAGGGGTAGATCTGGGGGCAGAAACCACAGGTTCACGCAGAGAAGCAGGCCTGGGAGGGGCCCAAGTGCTGAGCCAGGGCAGACCGGGATACGTACGCATTCCATGGGGAGACCAAACAAAAGACACTTTTAACCTGGCGGGTGCAGCGTGGCAGGAAGAGGCCAGCGTGGGCGGCGCCCTCTTACCTTGTACTCTGTAAGAGAAAAGCAGAGACCACAGCGGTGGGGTGTTTAGGGGAGCAAGCCCAACGTGCGGGACACCCCAACCCCATAGCCAGCTCAGCCATGCATGGTCTTCCCGTACCCTCCTGGGCAGCTGTGTGGGGCTCTGGTCTCAGGCCACAGTGCAGGGGTTCTGAGGGTCTCCCCCAGGGACACAGAGCAGGAGGCATGGCCAGAAGGGTGAGGCCAGATTGGAAGCCAGACCGGGACGCCGGCTCTCCAGTGGTCTGGGCCATGCTGAGAGAGCTGCATGCCTCTGATTACCCCTCATGCGTGGACATGAGGGTGAGCCTTTCCAGGGTGCTGTGAAGACTGACGTGGTCACCTGACTGGACTCCACCTCAGCCTCTCACTGCCTTCCTGCCTTCGTCCAGCCTCCTTTTAAACTGCTGAGCTCTGCAACTGCCTTTTGGGTGGTTCTCTTTTTCTTTCTTTTGTGGCGCTGAGGATGGAATCCAGGCCTTACGTGTTAGGCAAGCGCTCGCCCACTGAACTGCCCCGAGCCTGGAAATGCCTTTCTTCCCCACTGAAAACTCCTTACTGAACAGAAAAGCGCGTAGCCACGAGGCCTCCCATGCTCGCAGGACAGTGGCGTAACAGCCCTGTGGGGTGGGCCAGTTCCGGAGCTCCCCACGTGCCACGTGGGGTCCTAGGGCCTGGCTGGAGGTCTGGGTATTTGGACCCTCACTTCAAGGATGCTGGGACCTGTTCCACATGCTGCCGCCCACGTGGGACCCAGCCCCAGCCCTCTCCAGAGGGTGACAGGGTGTGGCAGCCAGGCCCAGAACCCCACATGAAGCTGGAGGGTGACCCCCAGCAGCACCTGCCACATGACCAGGCGAGCTGTCTCCTGCCAGCTTCCTGGCTTAGCACACAGGGAGCCAGGGCAAGGCGGCATGACCCCGCAGTGTCACTCAGGCGCCCTAGCCAGGACCCTGCTTCCTCACGTGTGCAGTCACCTCATGAGCTAGGCAGCCCCAGAGCTGAGATAGGAAACCCAGGGCTGAGGGAAACGCGCCCCCTGGGGTGCCCTCGCCCACCATGCCCAGGGCCTTCTGCCACCAGGCCCTGAGGGTCAGTCTCAGCATGGGTCAGCAACCCCCTGCCCAGCCAGAGGCCCGCGGGGGTCCCCGCGGTGTGTACCTCGCGTGCCCCAGCCGGCATCTAGCTCTGCTCCACAAGGGGCCATATTGGCATTCTGGAAGAGAAAGAGAGAGGCAGCAAGAGGCGGATGCTGGGGCGGGTGGCAGGGCCCGGGCGTCACAGCCTGGAGAGGCAGCCTGCTTCACACTGACGGCGGGGGACCACTGGATGGCCCCAGCACCAGCTCTGCAAAGCACCAGGCCGCCCATCCCCCTGCCCAGTGTGCCCTGGCCTGGGGCTCCCCTGCCCTGCCTGTTGGCTCAGCTCTGACCCACCTTACAGATGACCCTTTGACCAGGGCCTGCCTGCTCTGGAGCTGGCAGGGCCTCAGCAGGCGGCGGCACGGGCTCCTCTGCTCCTGCCCCACTCTCGCACTCCGTGCTCTGTGAGGACCCAGGGTCCACCTGGGCTGGGGGCCCCGGAAGACAGCCAAAAGCGACAAACTGGCCATTGCCCGCAGGGGCTGTGCCTGTCATGCTGGCGCTTCCTCTGGCCCACAGCCCAGAGCCCAGCTGCACTGGCACATGGGGCTGCGTGCTGAGGTCCGCCCAGCCAAGGCTCCAAGAGGGCCCTGCCTGTGCTGAGGACTAAAGGAGCCTGATGGTTGGAAGCCCAGGCACAGATCCAGCAGGTGTCAGTTGTCTCTGCAGAATGGCCCTGGTTCTGACAGCAACCCCAAGAGGGTGACACTCCAGGGGAATAGGGGAAATAGCCTCTCCAGCCCTCGGGCGCATCCCGCCCCTGCCCATGGCGCCCACCAGCAAACTGCCACCTTGGTGCACGTAGCATTCAGGTCTGGAGTTTCCTGTCCCCTCCCCCCACCTGAAGAAGTTACTGCATAACCACACACCCCACTGCAGGTCCCCGGCACCCCACAGAGACTCCTCCGTCCCTCTCCCTCTGCTCCTGCCCACTATGGGGCTCTGGGGTTTGCATTCAGAGCTTCGCTGCTCGTGGTTGGACATGTACTGCCTGCAGCAGCTGGGCCCCCAGAACAAAATGCCTTATTTCCACCTGATCTCAACACCGGCGCAGGCCGAAACGAGGTCAGGGCTGGTGACCAGGGCCTCTGAAATTGAGCACAGGGATGACATTTCAGCAGAGTCGTGCAGGTGAAGGGCCAGCGTGCAGGTGCTGGGTTCCGTCACGGGGACAGCTGCGTCCAGCGGGAACGCACCAAGGTCGCCAAGGATCGAGCTGCTGGCGGCGGCCCGGGGCTGGGATGCGAGTCTGTGGCACACACCGGCCGTGATCGCTGGAAGCTCTGAAAGGCTCGCTACCGCTGCTGTAGCGTGTGGGAGTGGAAAAAGGCCCCGAGGCCAGAGCGCTTGTCTGCAGCAGGGAAACCGAGGCCTCGAAGAAGCCAAGGACGTCCTCCCGCTGGGACCATGCTGCCAAGTGGGGTAAGCGGGTGGGCAGATGGCTAGAGCTTTTTACCTAAATTGTGAATTTTTCTGCATTAATTTGATTTCTGAGGTGCTGCATACCAGTGTGACGTAGCTTAAGGGCGGCACCTCACCCTTGTCCCAGCCCTGACCTTCGCCTCTCGCGGTTACCATTCCCCTCTGCAGTTCAGGACACTACGGTAGACTCCATCCAGCAAGAAGTACTCGGTGACCTCAAGCGAAAGGAAATGCTGCCACCTAGCGTTTATGATCTGCATCACAGCCAGCGGAGAACCCAGACCCCGCCCCCACAGACGGGAGGGAACCCACTCCCCACAAAGCCAGCTTCCTCCAGCCCAGCAGGCTGAGGCCACCGCGACACTGGGATGGGTGGGGGAGGGCAGAGTTATGGGGCGCCATAGTTGGCCCGGAGAGGTTCATCCCGTGTCCTCAGTGCAGAGGGCCTGGCTCTGCAAGACCCCAGTGCCAGAGTCCTGGGTTCCTGCCTGCCCAGAAGGCGAGGTGGAGGTCCCTGGAGTTGGAGGCAATGCCTTACTTGTCCCCCCTCTGGCAGGTGTGCACCCGGAATCCTCTAACCTGGAATGAACGAGGCTCAGAGAAGTGAAACATCTAATCTAAGATCACACAACAAATGCTTGGGACTAGAGAGATATGAGCCTGTGCTTCACTTTCCCGAAATTATACTGAGATCACCACGAACAGAGAGGAGGTCGTGCTGCTTGCCCGGGCTGCCGTGCCCCTCCCGCCATAGCTGTCCTGGGGCTGCACCTCCCCGTGGGGGGAGGGGGGACTTCCTTTCAAATAATAATGACTCACACCGGGACCGCGTTGCAGTACACAGGAGATGCACATCCAGGATGGGACTTGTCTCCATCACATCTTTAAGAGGTGAGGATTTCTTTTTTCTTAATTTCAGGAAATAAAGACTCAGAAAACTTAACTTGTGTGAAGACAGCAGGGCTCGGCACTCGGGCCATCTGTTTCCAGGGTTGTGATCCGTGGAGTCTGGAGTCTCAGGCTCACTTGCTAAGATACTGTGTGCCCAAAGTGTGCACAAGCTTAATTTTGTTTTAACAGATCATGCACGTTTATACATATTTACATATTTTGCAAGTGTTCTGTTGATAGGTGAAAACTGGACTCCAGAGAAACATTTTTTCCACAGACCCATTAGATTCGGGTTGCTGTTTGTGCTACTCAGCTATTCTGCACCGACATTTGTTTTGTTCACGAGATCCATATCTTCTTTTAAGACAGCTGCATTTGGGCCAGCAGGCTAGCTCGGCAGACTAAGTGCCTGCTTAGGCAAGCTCAGGACTGGGGTTCTAGTCCCAGCTGTGTAGTGAGACCATGTAGAAGATATATAAGTTAAAAAAATAATAATAAATAAATAACTGCATTCAGACCAGCTAGCTTGCCATTTTTCAAGGTGCCTGGCGTGATCATGTCGCTTTGTGCATTTCAGTTTACAAATGCTGGACTTTATTAGTAGGGTTGTTAGGGTGAACTTGCGCCCCTTTTCACACGATCATTTTTGTGTGTTTCTTTTAGCTTCTGTCCAATCTGATACTGGTATTGCTGTCCCTGCCTTCTTTGTAGTTGCGATTTTAGTAGCTCTTTCTTATCGTTTACTTTTAATGATTTAAAGGTAACGGCAAGTGTGTGAGGCCTCACTCTGACGATGGCACTTTGTAGCCCTCGCTGGACAGCCTCTACCGATCTGTTCACACTGAACCTCAGTGTTTTCAACTGGGACATCTTCCCGGGAGCGATCACACAGACCAGCAGGGGCCAGGCGCCAAGGCCCTTGTCGGAGTCCCCTCTGCTTCACCTCCCGGGACACCTCAGTAGGTGGCTGTCATTCTGTCTGTGTCGCAGGGAGGTGGAGCAGCTCCACCCCCCACAAGCTTGGTTATTGGGCCACTTTAGTGGCCTTGGACACACGTAGTGCTTTGGGTCCTTATAAAAATATTCCTCTTAGAAGAAGAGCTTTTCCTGTTCTGCTACAAGACGGAGAACCACAGTAGTGTCCACGGTCACAGCTGTGTCTGCGCCAGGGCTCGTGGCAGCTCATTATCCTTTTCTTCTTTTTATGTGCTTGGTACAGGGTCTCACGTGCAGCTCGGACTTGTGGTGATCCTCCCATCTCAGCTCCCCAGTGCTGAGATTACAGGCGCGCGCCACCACGCCCAGACTCGGTGGCCAGCTCAGCACACCTGGGGGTGGGGCCGCTGCAGCATGTGGTGCCAGGGATCGAACCCCAGTCCCTGCACTTGCCTACGCAGGCACTTAGTCTGCTGAGCCGTCTCACCAGCCTTCCTTTTCTTTGTTTTTGACATCAATTTTCTCCTGTAGTCTTTCTCTTCCTTTGCGTTTTGATATTAGAAGCAGCTTCCCTTTCCCTGAGTTTGTGCGCTTGCTTTTGCTATCCAAATCCTTTCTGCAACTGAAAGAAACCAGGAAAGCACCTTGGAGATGACTTGGCCCTGCTGGCTGCTGGCAGCAGTGTGTGGGACTGGGACAGGACCTGAGTCCAGCGGTACAAGGTGGGCCACCAGGCAGCTCAGCACAGACTCCTGCGGGGAGCGGGCGTGCGAGTACAAAACGGTCTTAGGAAAAAGGGGGAAGAGCGTTAGAGAGGAAAAAACCCCGAAGCCGGGCAGCAGTAGGGCTAGTGCCCAGCCCCGCAAAGCTTAAGAGTTGGCCCGAGGTGGTCCTGGAGGGCTAGAGACGGTCCTGCCAGATGTTGGGCCAGCTGTTCTCAGCTGTTTCAGGAGACCTCGTCCTCTGCAGATGTCACTGCTGGGTGTGAACTAAGAGACCAAGCAGGCTGGGCAAGTGGAGCCCTCTGCTCTGCTCCCTGTGCCCCTCCCTCGCACTCAGTGGCCACCCCAGGCCTGACGTGGCTGTGTCCACACCACAAGCCCTGTGCCCAGCAGCCCCGGACTAGAGGACAGCTGCTCCGAGTGAGGAAAGAACATTCTAGACACTTTCCCCAGGGCCCCAGGCCCTGGCACTGAGTGAAGGACTCGTATCCTAGTTGTACCCAGGTCCTGGGCACCAGTCTCCTGTGCCCTGCTTTCCCTGTGGAAGACAGAGTGGGGCTAAGTCCCCTAGAGGAGACTCGGAGCATGCGGTTGGTTACTCCACTCCGGAAAGGGCAATGGGGTTAGTCGGAGGGGCTGGGATTAGGATCCGCTAGAACCCAGCCATGCAGAAGGCTGCAGGGCTCCACAGGTGGGGCCGGGCACCAAGCCTAGAAGCAGAGTAAGAGAGAAGCATGCGAATGGCCCCTGTGCTGTGGGGCGTGTCCCTGGCTACAGGGGCAGGGCATCCCCAGGGCAGCAAACAGGCCTCAATCTCTTAGAGACCTCTCAAGAGGAGACTGCCCCGGATGATGGAGGCCCTCTCAGTCACTAGCAGGAGGTGGCTCTGGCACCATCAGACCGTTCCCACCCCAGGAGTCCTCCCTGGAGACCCAGGACAACAGTGAGTGGCTCTCCACAGAGGCACTGAACTGGGGCTTTGAATTGGGGCTTGGCACAGACTCATCCCGGCCTGCAGCTGGGAGCAGGAAAGGAAGGAGAGCCAAGCCGAGCCCTGTGTCTGGGGGCTCAGGGTGCCATCCCTGTAATCATGTGATCCTACCACCAGCATCGAAACCCAGGCAGAGACGCGGCTCCCCCACTTCCGAAGCGCAACTGTCCTCTCTGGGCTCCCTGAGCTCCCCCTACAGCAGGAGGCAGCAGCTCTAGGCATCTTCCTAAAGCTGGATCTGACCCCTGGCTGGCCCATCTCCCAACCCCGACACACTGGGCCTCCCTGGCTCCTGGGCAGGGCAGAGAAGGTGCATGGGGGTGGCCCGTCCGGTCTGGTCCTGCGGTGGACAAAGCAGCCCCAGGTGGAGCATCGGGTGGGGACCGGTGGGCAAGTGGGGCCCAGGTTCTCCTCCTGGCTGCGTGGTCAGGGAGCTGTGGGATGCGTCTGGTTAGTACAGCGCGGCCGCGGGGGTAGGTACCTACCCGGTGGTCCAAGCCGTCCTTTCCAGGTCCTGGGGAAGAATCGGATTTGGAATAGGGGTAGCCTGAAACAGACACAGCACAGCCCGGTCACACGCGCTCGGCACAGCTGCAGAGGGGGTGCCCTGATGGGCCTCCTGGAGGGAGGGACCCAGCTGTGAAGGCAACAACACAGAGTAGGGCCCCAGGCCTGTCTGGCCTCAGCTAGGGCCTCCTGTCCCCAGGGCGCACACCAGTGAAGGCTCCGGGCGGGCGCCAACCACGCCTACCCACAGCCTGAAGATTACAGCAGACACGGCCCGTGACAGGCGGGGACCTCAGCCTTATCTGTCACCAGGCCAGCCCCTCACTCTTCAGATGGGGATGGGGCTGGATCTTGGCCCGCAGGGGCAGCAGGGCTACGCCATCCAGGGCTGGGGGATGGGGGGTGGGGCAAGGGCAGATGAGACCTGGAGGCGTGTGTCCGTCCTTCCTTCCTTCCTTCCTTCCTTCCTTCCTTCCTTCCTTCCTTCCTTTCCTTCCCTCCCTCCCTTCTTCCCTCCCTCCCTCCCTCCCTTCTTTCCTTCTCTCCCTCCTTCCCTTTCTTCCTTTTTGAGACAGGTTCTTTCTGCTGCTGAGACTGGCCTGGAATTGGCTCACTAGGGCAATCATCCTGCCTCAGCCTACCAAGCAGTTGGGAATACAGGCAGACACCACCAGGCCTGGCTGACAATTTTACTTTCTGGAAAAAAAAACCGTCAAGAGTTCCTTGCAGCAAATTTTAATTTTCACGTTAAAATTCAAATTGCCAGTTTTGCTTGGTATGCAAAGGGTTGGTCTGAGATCCTGGGAAGCTGACCTCTTTCCATTTGGAGAGGCTGGGCCTCGATGGACCTGGGAGCAGGACTGGCACCTCCTAGTCCAATGTCATTGTCATCTCAGGGAGAGCAGAAGGGAGCCCTGGAGAACAGCTGGCCCACAGGAGTGCCTTCCGGTGGAGCAGCTGGGACACAGACCCTTGCACCCCACGGGGTGGGGGCCCTACACCAGGAGCAACCCTCACAGGCCTGCCTCAGTCCCTGAACTGTCTGTCTGTCCACCAGCCTGCAGGCCCTGAGACAGGGGCCACATCTGCCTTGTCCAGACATCCCTAACTGCCACCCTGCAGTGAAGACCAACCGTGCAGCACGAGTCCACCATCTATTTGTCTCCAGGACCCCTGGGCTGCCATGGAGAGCGGAAGGGGTCGGTGCGTCACCACCCTCGGTGTGCCAAGCTATGCATACGCGGAGGGCTGGGACACAGCACCCCTGCCTCCGTGGGCTTCTGAGCAAGGGTGCGGGCCCAGGGCTTTTCCCTTGGGCTCCTCTGTGACAAGAGAGGACAGGATAGAGTCTTCGTAAGGCCACAGGAAGCCAGTAGGAGACAGTTCCCTGGGAGCTGCCTTGTGACCTGCATGTCACAGGGTGGCCTGCGGAAGGTTCTGGATATAGGTCAGCAGAGGCCTTTCACAGCATGAAGGGGGCCTCCGACTTCTGCTAGCAGAGGAAACCCCTCGTTCCACGGATTCTTAGGCAAGCTATGGTATGTAAGAGAGATCTGGGTGAGGGCCTGGGGCCGGGGCTGCTGGGCTGCTCCTCCTGCACCAGCCTCCCTGAGGTCCCTCCAGATGAGGGCCCAGTTCAGCAGCAGTGTTCCCCAGACAGCTGCTTCCTGAGTTATGCACACAGCCTGGTGCACTCTGGGGGCTGAGGGACCGCCCAGCCGGACAGGAGCTGCCTGGGAGCCGAAGGTGCCAGAAGCAGTGGTTCTCAAAGTGGGTTCCAGCTCATACCATTCACCTCACCAGGGAACCTAAGAAGTTCTCTCCTCAGAAACACAAATTCTCAGTTCCATCGCAGACCTACGGAGTTGGAATTCTGGGTCTGGGAATCTGGACCAGTGTCCAAGATTTACAAGCCCTCCGGGATGTTCGGCCGCACAGCAGCCTCTGGACACAAGTGCCCTCTAAGGTCAGCCTGTGTCCTCACTGAATCCACACCTCCCTTCAAGGCAGTGACCTGGACACACAGCGCAGGCCCCTGGGGGAGGGATGGCTCCTAATGCCTGGCTGCTGTCTGTGGTCCCGACATCCAGCTCACCCAGGCAGTGTAGAGACTCGACCTTCGTTAAGCCACTTAACACGTTCTTTGGCCTCCCTGCAAATAGAGCTCTCTCCTACCTGCGAGGGGCACCTACCTCTGTAATATATTTGCCTCAACCATCAACTGTGATCAAAGAGACCGGAGGAAAGACAACAGTCCATTCGACGTAGCCCCACGCTCACCTATCCTGGCAGCCTTTCCTTTCCGAAGTGCCAGGCTTCCTCCTGTCATCACCGTTTGGAGAACATCTCTAGCGCTCCCTACGCTCTGGCTGTGACATGCCCTGCAGCTCGCTGTCATCAGAGAAAGTCTTTATTTCTCGTCCGTCCTGATGGGTGTCTTCGCTCACCACGCATTTACACCGACAGTTCTTTCTGTTCAGCCCCCGAGAGACGTGCGCTTTCCTCCTGGTTGCGTTTCAGCTGCAAGGCCTGTGGTCGTGCAGTTGGGTGCTTCCCACGTCATCTCAGGGTGCTTTCCAGAATGGGGGTGCTCCCTCTCTGTGGGGTTTTTCGAGGCCTTAATTTTCGGCAATTTAACCGTGTTGTGTCTTGTTGTGGATTTCTTTGACATTCATTCAGTTCCTGGAGTTGGTAGATTTGTGCCTTTAGCAAAACACGGTGAGTTTTCAGCCGTTGCTGCCCTGAGTATGTAGCTACACGTACAGGTGCAGACTCGCTACATCGGGGACCCAAACCAGGGCTCCAGGCCCTGAGCTGCATCTCCAGCCCTTTTTCTGTTTTCACTTGTAAATCGGCTCTTGCGATCGTCCTGCCTCAGCCTCCCGGGCTCTGGGATTACAGCGTCGCATTGCCGCACTTCTCTGAAGCTTTTCCGGTCCTGTCCTTTCTGCTGTCCCTCTGGGAACCCAGTGACGCCAGCGCTGCCCCCAGGCCCTGGGGTGCTGCTCGCTCCGCTGCTCTGTTGCTCGCCCGGGTGGCTTGGCTGCCCTCTCTGCACACACTGACCCCCTCTGCTCTCTCTTTGAAGCCCTAGTGGGATTTTAATTGTGGTTACTTTACTTTTCAGTTCTGGAGTTTCCATTTGACTCAAAACATAATTTCTTTTTCTGTGGTGGGACATTTTCTTGCTTGCATTTGCTCCCCAAAATTGATAAATGCTGGCTGAAGCATTTCTATGGTAGGTGTCTTGCGGTCCTTATTGGACGATTCCACATCTCATCATTTTCTCTTAGGATCTGTTGTCTTTTTTCCACTTCAGTAGTTAACTTCATCATTCTTACAGTGCTGACAAATCTGACCAATTTTTCTACCAAATCCTGGCTATTGGGGCGGGGATTCTGTGTGAAGAGCCTCAGCCTCAGTTTCCCAGGCTACCACTGGTCTAGGCTCGGTGTGTAGGGCCTGGTGACACCCCATCTTCAGAGCGCTGCTTCGGGGCGTCTGCTCCGCTGGCCTCCCCTGGTGCTGCGCTCCTGTCCATCCCTGAGAGAGGGGCCCATGGGGCACAATTCCTTGGTGGAGGTGAGTGACCCAGCCGTGCACCCAAACCATCCCTGGTGTCTCCTGAGCTCAGGTGCCTGTGGCCGCCTGCTCAGTGTCTGCAGTGTGGCAGGGAGATGTCAGCCATTCTCCCTGTTCTATCCTTGAGGTGTCCGCTGGGCTATTTCCGGGTTCTTTCACTTGTGTCCCGTTGGGGGGGGCAAGGAGAGTGGTGTCCAGGGCACCTCATGTCTGAGTCGCTGGCCACGCCTGTCCACCTGGTTTCTCTTGGGACCAAATGGCAGCTGAATTTAATGGCCCCGGAGACCCTGGTGCATTCAGGGCAAGAACCACCATCAAGGGAAATCTCTTCAATTCTCACTGCCTACACTCTGAATGGGAACCCATTTGACAGCCCAGGAAGCTGAGGTCTAGTGAAATCAAGTGATCCACAGCAGACCTACGGAATGCCCAGGATTTAGGAGTCCATCTCCCCACCCGTTCCCAGTAGCTGTCTGGTGGGGTTGCAGGCACTCGGCCTAAAACCTGCATGTGATCAGCCCAGTGCATGGCTGTGTGCACATTAAACAGAGGAATGAAGAGGGGTACAGAGGCCCCAGGGCCACCTCGCCGCTGGGTGGACCAAGACCCCGGTCACGTCAGACCCCGAGAGCCGGGACCCTGACCCACACTAGTGGCCTGCGCACTCCCCTCAACTGCCCCTGGAAGGCTGACCCCTCCACGTCAGGAGCCTGCCCGCGGCTCCGTGCCCTTCCCGCTGCTCTCGAGGGCGCAGCAGCTGATGTGCGAGCCCTCCTGGGCGACTGCGGGGGTCCTGAGGCAGCACGGACAGCTGGCTCAACACAGCACCTTGTGGCCAGCTGGCTAGCAGGCCGCTCCAGGCACCCCGGTGTCAGTGTGTGACAACAGTTACATGGCCAGTGCAGCTCTGGTCCCTCCCTGAGCCTTGGAGTCCCTGCAGCTCTCAAGTGGCAGAGGACAAGAGGGTCTGGAGCCACCAGAGCCTCAGACTTGGAGGCAACTGGTGGTTCCAAACTGGCTGCCAGGCCTGGGCACTGCCTGCTGTACACCTGGCCTGGCCTGCCTGGACGTCGCCGGGGGGCCCGGCCGTGGGGTACCATGCGCTTCCCATGCCAAGCGGCCTCAGCCAGCCCTGTTCTTACACCAGGGTCTTCCAAACCCAGAGGGCTCAGTCTTGTGCCCAAGGCCACTTAGGAAGTGACAGCTGAGGCTCCACGTGAACACACTACCAGCCCCTCACACAGCCTCCTGGACTTCTCTGTAGCCCCAAATGTGTGGTGGCCACATGCAAGTCCCCAAGCCACCAGGAGCCTGGAGTGCTCTGCCTGTGACTTCTGTTTTCTCCCTTGGACATGTCTGGCTTCTGGGCCACAGGATCGGGTCCCTCTGCGCCCCTGTCACATTCAGCAGCTCTCTTTCCCCAGCCTCAGGACAGCTCCTGGGCTGCACCCCCCTTCT